TCAAATGCAAATTGGTAATGGTAAAAAGATCCCAAGCATAGGTTAATTTAAATCAAATTTAAAATGTCAACTAAGTAGTTTGGCATTTAAACATGCAGAAAAACAACATTTTAAAATTATTATTGTTGTCATTATCATTATATTATTATTCAAAGACAGAGTCTTGCCATGTCAACCAGACTAGAATGCAGTGGTGCAGTCAGAGCTCACAGTAGCCTCAAACTCCTGGGCTCAAGGGAACTACCTGCCACAGCCTCTTGAGTCACTCAGATCACAGGTACAAACTACCACACCTGACTAATTTTTTTTAAACTTTTTTGTAGAGACAAAGTCTCTTTATGTTGCCCATGCTGGTCTCAAACTTCTAGCCTCAAGTAATCCTCCTGCCTCAGCTTCCCAAAGTTCTGGCATTACACGCATGAGCCATTGTGTCCAGCCAGAAAAACAACATTTTGATAGAAAGAATAAAGGCAAAACGCTACATCTCTAAGGTAAATTTAAAAATTTTAAATGTGGTAAAATGGCCTGCACATGGGTGAGCTCTCTGATACCTAAAACACAAAGTCATCATTACTTCATCTTTGCACAAGATTGCAACTTGTCCTCATTGAAGAGTTGTTAATTTTTCTCTAAAATTCTGCATCTTTGTGGAAGTTGATGTCAGTTCTGAATGTCACTTGTTACATAGGAAAGGGGAGAACTTTCATCAGGCCCTCAGTTTCCAGAAGCACAGTCATTTGCAGCCATAGATTCCAAGAAAATAAAACACAGAGTAGAATTCAAAAGGAGTCCTGGCAGTGAACCCTAATGCCCAAGATGTCAAACCTCTCTACCCTTTCATAGTCATATATTGATGAGCAAAGGGTCTTTTTTCAACCTTCTCTTTTACTCTGAAGGAATAACTGGTAGATCTTTGACAAGCAGCCTAAGGAGATTTGGTTTTCTATTTTTCACTGAGGGTAGCGGGGACAGGATGGCATCTCCCCTTTGTTCCTTTCACTCAGAGCCTGGGGCCTGAGCCTGGTTTCCCAAAAGGCCTGTGTACATTCACCCCAATGGCAAATGCCAATAAGCAGTGAGTTCAGAATGTGGAGGAAAACCAGACACAGACACGGGCTCAGTCGATAAGCAGCATTTCACACACAGTGACCACTAGCTAGTAAAATGTCATAAAATGTCTATGAAAGAACTCATGTGGAATCACATTAAAAAACAGGAATGAGCCCCAAGCACAATGCCTTCATACTCTTTGAAGTTATAAAAATTTTACACATGCATTCTGAAGCCAAACAAAACTAGAACAGAAAGCAGACTTTATAAGAAATACCTTGGTTTTTCTCTAAAAGAATCTAAAATTCCCACCTTAAAGCTCTCTAAAATAAATAGCAAAGAAAGCACTATGAAATCACTAATGAGTATAGCTAGGTCCAATATAGAAATAAACTTTATATAGGCTATGCTTCCCAAAAAAGACTGTCAAATTGAAGGGAGAATTAATTCAACAGAGATAGTGTTTTTATGAGGAATATTCTAGCGGCATTTTAGATATAACTGGTTGTTACCTTTTAATAAGTCTTCCTTTAGGAATTAATATATATCAATTTTTAAATAACAAGTTGCTAAAAATGTTAGCATTGTTGAACAAAATTAAGACTGTTGAGGTTTGATAAACATTTATCAGAAATCAAATGTGACGATTGACAAACGTTTATTGGAAACTAAATGTGAGGATTGACCCACGAAGTCAACAAAAGTTGGGTGTGTTCCATAGTCAGCTACTAATTGGAAGGCCTTTATAAGAAAGTTTAGAAGGAAGGGGACTCCTCACACCAGAGCTGCCCTTTTTCATTGGAGGGTACATTACAGAAGTTATAATCATCGCCTACAGACTACAACATGCAGGTTAAAGTGTCTGTGTGTAAGACAATTAGGCAGACTTCCTGATTCTGAAACAAATCAGCATCCTTTCCAGTGTCTGTGAGTTACACATTAAGCAATATGTCAACAATTTGAGGAACTCCTGATAAGACTCTACCCAGGGACTGAATGTTGTCATAAAACACAAGACCTCTGCCAGACGGGTTAATTTGGAAGTCTGCCAGAGCTGGCCCATAGGTTATCATTATTGTGTTTATTTATATATTAGGATAAAAGCAAGAAATTTATGTTTGAGAAAATCATGTCATGTTTGTTTTATAGTTTAAAAACTCTATAAAATTCTTGACCTTTAAAAATGTATCAGACTTGTTTTTGGATTGTTCACATATGTGTTAATAGTAAAGGCTGGATTTATTTGGGAGAATAAGAACATAATCATTTGCTTAATTCTCTTCATGATATTCATGGTATATTGCTTTATAGTTAATAAAGTGCTTTCACATTTTCTCAGATACTCTGGAAGAAAGAGGAGAGCAGAACAGATATGATACCATCATTATTTTATAGATAAAGAAATAGGAATTTTCCCACAGCCCTCAAGTTAACAGGGCTGATAAAAAAAAAAGTGACATTAAAAATATATTCACGTATAGATAAAATTTTAAATACAAGACATTCAGCTTAATGTAAGTTATTGCACTAATTTCTTTTTTTTAATTGCATTTTAGGTTTTGGGGTACATGTGATGAACATGCAAGATTGTTGCATAGGTACACACATGGCAGTGTGCTTTGCTGCCTTCCGTCCCCTCACCTGTATCTGTCATTTCTCCCCATGCTATCTCTTCCCACCTCCCCACCCCCCGCCCCTCCCCCATTTCCCCCCAACGGACCCCAGTGTTTAGTGCTCCCCTCCCTGTGTCCATGTGTTCTCATTGTTCAACACCCGCCTATGAGCGAGAATATATGGTGTTTGATTTTCTGCTCTTGTGTCAGTTTGCTGAGAATGATGGTTTCCGGGTTCATCCATGTCCCTACAAAGGACGTGAACTCATCATTTTTGATGGCTGCATAATATTCCATGGTGTATATGTACCACATTTTCCCTATCCAGTCTATCATCGTTGGGCATTTGGGTTGGTTCCAGGTCTTTGCTATTGTAAACAGTGCTGCAATGAACATTCGTGTGCACGTGTCCTTGTAGTAGAATTTCTTGATTAGAGTAACAATATTACAGTTCCTATTGAAAAAAAGTTATAAATTTAATGTGTGTTACTTAATGACAAAAATATTCAGAATGAATTTGATTGTGGTTGAGTAACTACCATTTCTCCAAAGTAAAGATTTCCTCAACTAAAAACATGGAAAAGATGAGACTAGAATCACTAATGTTTTGGGTTCTAACATCACATGAGTCTACAAATTTTACCATTCTTCATAGAATAAAATTAGAATCCTTCATGTCCAATAAAATAGTCCCTTTGCACCTCTGCCTGTACATAAATCACTCTCAGCAACCTGCAAAAAGTATTCAATTTGCTGTTTTGCTTCTGGGGAAAACACTTGCATGCAAAAAGCTTTCTCCAGTGAGAAGGCAGGGGAGATAGGTTACATGGTTTTGCAAGAAGAGTTTGTGTGTTTGCAGGGGGAAATTAACATAGTAGTGATCTTCCCCTTCCAATTATACATGATTCAGTGATTACACATAAGAAGAAATTCCCTTGTCCATTATATCCTGAGTGAACCCTGTTCTTTCTTACTCACAAAAGTAACGGAGTCTATTTTCTTTCATATCTGTTATTCCACAAACACTGACTTCACACCTCCTCTGGGAAGTCACCCCACTGCACACTGGGGATACAATAGCAAGGAGACAGGCAGGTTTGTTGTTCTCCTGCTAAATCTTATCTCCGTTATTTCACATCATTGAAAATTATGGGTAGCTTTTTTTTTTTTTTTTGAGATGGAGTTTTACTCTTGTCATCCAGGATGGAGTACAATGGTGCCATCTCGGCTCACTGCAACCTCCACCTCTCAGGTTCAAGTGTTTCTCCTGTCTCAGCCTCCTGAGTAGCTGGGATCACAGGAGCCTACCACCAAGCCTGGCTAATTTTTGTGTTTTTAGCAGAGATGGAGTTTCTCCATGTTGGTCAGGCTGATCTCAAACTCCTGACCTCAGGTGATCTGCCCACCTTAGCCTCCCAAAGTGCTGGGATTACAGGCATGAGCCACCACGCCCGACTAGAAATTATGGGTATCTTGTGCTGTTCTGGACTCTAAAATGTCAGAGACGTTTTAATGAAGGAGTGAAACTCAGTGACGCTCAAAGCCTGCAGGAGAAGTGGGAGAGAAGAAAGAGTGGGAGGCCATCTTCAGGTTTCTTCTGTCTCCATCTATTGCCAAGAGCCAGTAGAGGTCAGAATATTCTTAGGAAATTGTTGATTTCTGACTATTTGATTAGTCCGTGATAGAAATCGTTGTCCTTATGCTGATTTGTACCTTTGCTCAGTGAAGTTATCGCAGTGAATTTATACTACTGTATTCCATGAGAGTAAACGGTGCTCAAACCTCCCTGTTGACCCCTGGGCAAGGCGTCTTCTTAGACCCATTAACAGCACAAGGGCATCCCTATGGCCACCCCCAGAACTGCGGGGAAGGGAAGGGACCATGGAAAATTCTCAGCTTCAGTGCTTGCCGCTTCCCTCCACAGTTTGTAACAAGGCTTGATGGGGGCATTCTTGGGGCTCCAATTTTCTGCCTTTTTCTGAGGATCCCTTTCATTTTCCATCTCATTTCCTGCTATTTGTCTTCCAGGAATCCTTCTGTCCTTTGCTGTTACCTAGGAACTCAGCTCGCCTTCCCCTTTTGCATTCTCTCTGCTGGGAATACTACTGAATTTCATCCTGTGCAGAGAAGCGCAATTTAGAACACATGACATGGACCAAAGCAGGAGACAGGGATGGCCCTCCACTCAGGTCACATGTGGTCATTTGCCCTGGACACAAATCTGAGTGCTTTGAGTATCTTGTGTCAAGACAGGAAAGTAATTACCACCCTAAAATAAGTGTGCAAAGTGTCTTCGTCAGCAGGCAGAAACCACAGTGGTTTAGACAACAAAATCTAGGCCTCCTGGTGCTTACCACCGGCTGTGTTCTTACACTGCCTGCATAGAAAGAGGAGAGAAATTAACCTACCTACCCTGTACACGCCTCGGCCCAGGTCCTGTGCCTGATCTGTACTGTGAACGAGGAGACATTGAGAAAAGAAAAAAAGAAAGGAAAGTCTACCTTGGGACCAACAACAAAAAGAACAAAAGTATGCATATATGTCTTAGTCTGTTTTGTGCTGCTATAAGGCAATCCATGAGGCTGGGTAATTTATAACAAAAAATGGATTTGGCTGATGGTTCTGCAGTTTGTACAAGAAGCATGGTGCCAACATTACCTTCTGGTGAGGGCCTCAGGGAGCTTGGAATCATGGTGGAAGGTGAAGAGGGAGCAGGTGAGTCATCTGATGAGGGAAGATCAAGAGTGATTGGGGGGAGGTGGCAGGCTGTCTTAAACAGCCAGCTCTTGCATAAACCAATAGAAGAAGAACTCACTCATTATCACAGAGACAGCACCAAGCTATTCATGAGGGATCTGTCCCCATGACCCAAGCACCTTCCACTAGGCACCACCTTTAACATTAGGGGCCAAATTTCAACATGAGATTTGGAGGGACAAACATCCAAAGTGTATCAATATGGGTGTTGAATGGATCCACAGAATAAAAAAAAAAAACCTATCAGAGATAGAATTTAAAAATAAAAAACTGTAACAACAACAACAAAACATAAGTGCAGTCAAGAATAATCAAAATCGCCTCCACGCACCAGATCACAGACTGGAACAGAAAATACAAAGGCACTTCATTCATTTTCAAGGCTTTGCTCTCAAAACTGCTAGATAAGCCATGCAGTGAGAGACTGCATACAGAATTCATAAGAAAACTCCAAGGTCGTTTGTGTAATCAGGGACAGACAACCTGGGCATGAACTTGGAGGCACACATTTTTCTTCAAACGTGTGCCCAAATGAAAGTAACCTCACAAAATAATTCAAGAGAAGGAGTGGCAAGTGCAAAGAAAACTGGACAAGTATGGTGAACCCTACTCCTTGTCCCCAAAGAAATACAGGAAAGTGGTTGCAGAGCCCCGCATGCTCAATGTACCATTCCTGGATCAGCTTTTCCCAACCTGTTTTCACCGAACCAGGGAGCCATGCAATGCTTCATCATCCCGGGGAAAATGAACAAGGCCGTCTGATTAATCAGACTACAGCACCCCTTTTCCTCTTAAAACAGGGCTTATTGTTAGAAACTCACAGTGGATTAACAAGAAAAATGCTCCAGGCTTCAACTTAAGACCCCAGAAAATCAGAGCGTATCTCCTAATTTAAAATAAACCCTGGCATTTTTGATACTTTGTTTTCCTTTTTGACACAGCATAAAATGGATAGAGATTCCTGTAAACGGCAGACAGACAACTCAGGTTGCACCACTGCGTATTCTAATGTTCTGCAGCAACATCTAATGGTGTCAATGAGATTAAAAAAAAAAAGCTAATGCTCCTTTATGAAATATTTTTTTTCTTTCTGGGTTATGATAATAGTATATACCAATTGACTCCACAGAACAATTTGCTTTCATTCCTTATTTTCGCTTTTGTACTAGCAAATGTGGGATAAATGTATGTGTTAAATATTCATAATTATTAAACTATCAGCAGAGCTTATCAAATCCCACATATTCTTCTCCAATGACCCTTTAAAGGGAACAACTTTGACCTAGAGTACACAGATGTGGAGTAGGTCAGCTGATCATTCTGTCCGCACACTGCAGCAAGGGTGTTGTCTTCAAAGGAAAAGGAAAAATTTAACTAATGCAGTCTATAGACTTTGATGAAAGGACATTTTTCAAATTTTTAGAAGCAACGTTAAGAAAATATTGCTTAAAAGATGGCACTGCTTAAAAATATTGGTACGTCGGTAAAGGCTGCTTCTTGTTTCAGAGAAGTGCTAGGATAATTTCTACTATAACCTGAAAACTAAAGAAGTATAAACTTATAAGTGTTGATGTTCTAGATTTTCAAAAAGACTGGGAATTCATTTCTTTAAGAAAAAATAAATAAATATTCACACTACCCCTTTTTCTTAAAAAAAAAAAAACAAACAGTTTTTGCCTAAAGCTATAGACTACTTTATTTTGAAGATAAACACACCAAGGAAAAGTTACAAGAATTGCTACAATAAGCTGCAGCCGACCCTCCACTTTCACTCACCACTTGATAACTAGTTACCTCATATTCTCCATTGCTTTCCCTTTTTCTCACTCTAATGAAAACAACTATTGTTGTTGCTGAACAACTGGAGAGTAAGTTGCACACTTGATGTCTCTTTCTCCCCAAATGTTTCAACATGGCTTTCTGAGAACATGGCAGTCTCTTGCATAACTACAGAACCATGATCAGTTTCAGAAAAAACATTAAAAATTAACTTTCACAGTCTTTGATTTTAAGAACTTAGAGGAGTGTTGTACAACTCCAACTGAAGGTGAAAACACTTTTTAAAATTACAGTCTTTTCTAACTCCTCACTCAAAACAAAGTAAAAGCTTCATGAGGGCAAAGATTCGACTTCACTCCCAGGTGCGCGAGCCCTCCCAGGAGAGCTTGACACTCAGCGCACTCATAGGCAGTGTTCCCTGATTTCAAAAATTATTCTTCAAGTAATATTTAATTATTAATAAGTGTCTCATGTATCTAGTATAACATATAAAATCATTTTTGATGATATTTAATATCAAGAAGGTTGCTATGACCCATGTTTTAGGAACATGATATACTTTTTAAAGGCTCTTCTTCATAAATAACCCTCAAAGATTCACGTAACTCTTGACTTCTTTTGAAATATCCTCTGTGTCTGTGCCACTGATTTGGATTTTAGCATTCAGTGGTAGCATCCAATGATAAGGTGGGTCACATTTTAGGTTGATTAAAGGATCATTTAATAATTTTATTCTTTTATCTCCCCCACCATACATACACACGAGTCTTTCAAAAGAAAACCAAGTACTCTCTCCAAAGTGACCTCTATTAAAATTAATTTTTTAATAACTGCTTGGTTTTATCACTACTTCCCCAAATGCTAATTAATTCTAACTCTAAACTATGTAATTATAATACTTCTGCTGAAATACAAATTATCTGGTGCCCCTGGGGTGAACAAGTTAGAATGTGTTTCATGTTCCATTCAGCAGAGGAAAGGCAATATTTCTCAGACCACAGAAACAATGTGGCAGCCTCGCTGGTCTCCCTCCCCCAAACATTGGCAGTTCCTGTTTCTTCCTCTTTAGCAGGAAGACGGGAACAGAGTTGACAGCTGGCATCCAGTCAGTTTAATGCCTCTCTCCATGGGGCTGTGAGGAACGGTGGCATGCCAAGTTATTTTTGGCCAGGCACAGCAACACACAGAGCCTTCAGGAGCCTTCATTTAGGCAGTGGCAGCCAGTGTACCTGCAGAATGTGAATTGACGTTGCCATGGAAATAAAACAACTCTTCCAGTTCTGTCAAAATCCATCTCTATCTGCGACTAGGCAGAGGTCAGAAAGGAAAGAAGTACAAGTGCCAGGGAGAACATTCCAGAAGGGAAGGACTCTGCAGTGCCCCAGTGTGGGAGAAATCCGTTGGGCTTTTTCTGTTAATGTTCATATACACTACTGTGTTTCAAATCCAGATCTTGTTTTACCTTTAGACAGTAACAAATCCAGATACACACACACTCCTTATATATAAATACATACACTCATATATACCTTATATATTTACATATATACATATATATTCACCTTATATGCTCTCTGTATATATACATACATTATATATACACATACACGTATATGCCTTATACACATATGTATATATACACCTTATATACTCTGTGTATATATATATATATATATACACATATTTACGTATACATGCACACACATATACACACATACATCTTATGTGTGTATATATGTACCTTAAATATTTACATATAAATACAAATGTACATATTCACCTTATATACTCTCTCTGTATATACATACGTATGCACACACATATATACACCCACACACACATACACTTTATAGTTGTGTATATATATACCTTATATATTTCTATATATGTATTTATATGTTTATATATAAATGCAAATGTACATATTCACCTTATATACTCTCTATAGACACACACACACACACACACACACACACACACACACACACTCTTCTGGAACCCAAAGCTAGCCTTTGGAGGCTGCCATGTAACATTGTTAGGGTCTCATTTTCTCAGTTTTCACACAAAGTGGATTCAGATAACCTCTAAGCCCTCCTATTGTAATATTTCTATGATGCCATTTAACATTCTGTTTTCAGTCTTAATATGCATTAGCCCATTCTATCTGGAACTGCAACAGAAACACAAGAACAGGACAGTGCATGTCATAGGAACACATAAATAGGAGCTATGAAAAGCGAAGTGCTTCCTCTCTGTACCCCTCTTTGGGAGTAGTTCTGGGGTGCTGCTGTGGGCACTGAGATCTTAGATCTCCCTGGGCTTAATTCTTGAGGCGGCAGGAGGTAAGTGACAGCACTCTGTCCCTGGCAAACTCTCATTGCTGGAAATTTGCTTCTGCCTGTTCCAGGGTTCAGCCTGGGTCTGGCCCGGTGCGCTCATTTTTAATCACCTGTTTGGCCCTGCACATGGCTCTGCATGTGAGCTTCATCCCAAGTGCCAACCTCTGGGTCCATGCTTTCCTGGCCTCTGCAGACTCTTGGTTCACAGAAACATGGGTACTTAACGCAGAGGGTGGGCACACCTTGGGTCCAGGGACACAGGGGACCAAGGAGGCTACACAGAACCTCCACGATGGGTATTAGTGAACCTCGCTGCTGTGTATTCCCAAACACAGAGTGAAGAGCTGATCTTCCAATTCAATAGGAATCTGTGTGTGTGTTCTAACAGACCCTGGAGTCCTGACTATTTGAGAGACCGTGAAGGTTTGAGATGTGTCCTGTCTTGCTGTGTGAGGCACAAGCTCAGTCATCTGCTGACATGTGGCAGCCAGGCTGTCAAAGGGCCTGGCAGCCCATCTGCACATATTTTCAGTGCAGTTTGCCCTTATATACATGTACTGATCACCTCAAACCTTAAACTTCTACTCCGTTGAATTA